CGCATTCACGTATGCATTGAACTAGAGCTAGTACAACTTGCGCACTGATGAAGAATATAAGCGTGGTCGCGTTCTGTACGTTTTGCTGCTCAAGCAACTTCTTCTACATGAGCATGCAGATAATTACAATCATGTCTTGCCTTTTTCATTCAAATTCGATATAACAATTGAGCTGCTGATGTCGCGGAGGTGATGAGTCACTAGGAGAAGAAAGAAGCAAAATGTATTCTTTTTGAGGTAACGCTTGTTGGCATCAACAGCGATCATTTAAGTGAGCGTTTGAAAAACATTGAGCGTTTAAATAAGTCTCGAACACTCAACTAGTAATAATTTTTGGATAACAATAAGCGGCAATCACCTTCAAGTGCAGAAGCGAATCGGGACCAATGCTGATGATACTGGGTTTCAGAAAGCGGTTCAGAGGCTTTTCAAGTTATGAATATCGGTAAGTACGCAGTTGTGGTAGGGTACAAATGCGATCTACAAGTTAAATAAATATATGTAAATGATCAACAACCTAGTAGATGCCGACCCAGAAATCACCAGACATGTTTGCATGGGTTAAGTAACATCCCTCAATCTATCATCGTAAGACTGCGCAAAGCCCTCAACACCTTAGTTAATTTTGTTGAAATACCGACAACTCGACGGAATATTTGCCGCGTCTGTATATACTGCTAGCTTTTGAAGGATCTTATCTACAGAAGTGCTCAACCTTTGTATTGTATACTGCGCTTTACGCTGTGTCATCTGGATCTATTCTCTAGAACTCATTCATGCCAATCCTAAAGACTTGATCGTAACTTTTGATCCTTTCTCCGGTATCGTACTAGCCGTCTTCATCAAAGGGTGCACTTGAAATAACCCGGATGACTTTCCGCTTGCTTACGACTTGCATGCTTTCAATACCTTCAATCTTACAGATTCTGACATGAAAAGATCGTAGAGACTATTGTTGATGTCGAAGTAGGGCAGATGCAGAAGTGAAGTGTCTGCTATCAACTTCATGCCCAGACATATTTAATCAGCACAAATTAAACCTTCACTTGAATTTCATCAAATTTTTGAAATCTAAGCTCATTAGTTTTCATGATAAGATACGGAGAAAATAGCAATCAGGAACTGTCCTATATTTCTAGTTACACAATAGCCTTCTTTAAATTCTTCTTGGCCGAACCAGCCAAGTAGTCGCTGACGGAGGAAACAGCTTTCGAGTCCATTGTTGCTTTCGTGCTCTATTAAAAGAACAACAATAAGAAACGTCAGATTAAAGTCTTCAAACCAAAACTGTCAGCACACACCTTCTGGCTCAAAAACTTCTGTTTGAGGGCCTCCACAGAAGTGGCAAGCTTGTTAATTTCTCGGGCTTCAGTCCCTTGTTTTTTGCGTTTCTTGTTTATCTCTTTCTCACTCGGCGCGACGTATTCAGCCATCTTGTCAGCCTTACGCTTCTGAAGCATCTGAGCCTTCTCCTCGTGTTTCTTAACCTTTTTCATAGCTTTGCGCTCGTGCTCTTTCATGAAGTATTCACCACTCTCAATCTCTTTATCCACCTTGCTAGCCGTTGGGGCCGGTGGGAATGGTGTATACTCCTTCTTTTCACGCACCTTCTTGGGCTTCTTTGTCTGCACATTTT